TGTTATTCATTTTATTAAGATTTGCTTATAAATAATAGTTACAATTGATAGGAATTCAATTCCTATCAATTGTATTTTATGATTTTTTTCTATCGAGAAAATTTACCAAAAACGTGTTTTGAAAACAATGGTCCACCCATAAATGTGATCAAGATTAACATATATTTTTTGCAGCTCTAAAATGTATAAATTTTGTTAAAAAACTGTTTTGTAAAGCCTAGATTGACTGCATGAAAAAGGGACTATGTGGAATATCTGCAATCAAAGAGTATATAACCACTAAGTTTAGTGTACAACAGTTTATGTTTTTAAATGACACAAATCAATCAACAATCCATGACACAATAGAAATTTATATATTTTTCACTTTTTGGCGGGAACTTGAACGGCGGCGGTTTGCTGCTCCTTTATTATTGTTTAAATAATGGTTTGAAGTGGACTTTGAAATGTAACAGTAGTGCGAATTTGTGTATTAAGTGTCTGGTTATGTGAACTATTAGTGGAAACGGTAAAACAAGTGCTCTGATGGTGATGTGATTCTCAAGATAAGTTGGCTGTCTGCTTAGGCGCCTTGAGATACCATTTCAACTGTCAGCTGTTTGCTGGCTCAAGTTTGCCGTGAAAATCTCCCAAGGGCTGCACTATGTGACGCATCAAGATATTGTGAAGCAGTGTACTATAAAGGATAGTTATACATTGTAACTTAAGGCTCAGAAGGGCTATAACCCAGAGCCATAAAGCCAGTTATAAAAAAATATATTTTTCTATAAAAGCGTAGATAGAGGATTGACTAGATAAAGCATTCGCGTATGCTTTTGAGAGAGAAATAGGCGGGAGGTACTTTCACTGGGTTACCAGATATTGTTCCATTTCCCCCGTTATGGGTTTATTTATATTCACAGCACTTACTTATTCATACAAAAAACTTAATTGTTACCATAAAAAAATGTTCTTTTATAATTCAGATGATTAATTAATTTCTCTTGAAAATACATTCTGTGACCAAAACTACGGGCGGAAACGGCGTAAAAACAGAATCGTCATTCTGTATTCAACTGCGCATCGACGATTTTACTGGACATTCAATAAACTCTTTGGATTTCGACGGCACTAAGTGAAGGCGCTAATAGCACAAAGTGTGATATCGCTAATAAACAACAATATGTTATGTATGTACTTAAATATTAATTGAGAATAAAAATATTAAAAACTAAACAAAAATTTCCTTGTGTCGAGTTTTGTTGTTTTACACGCCTACTCCCGCGATTTCCTGCATGTTTTGCTAAGTTAGTGTCTTGTGTGCGGCAAGTTGTGGCGTACAAGAGAATTTGTCTGTACACGGGATGATATTACCCCGCGTTGTAAGCAATAATACAAGATGGGGAAGGGGCAGCAGCACTTTCCCGATGAAAACTTAAAATAATAAAAAACTGCGGTGGCCAACTATGGCAAGTCATCCTATGAGGATATCTATGGAAGGCCTTTTTAGCTGACTTACTTATTGTTAGGTGGCTTAATCATGTTACCTAATGGTTAAGGTGGTAAAATGTTTTAGTTAATATACGTTGTAAAGCATCAACAAAGGATTTTTTTTTTTGTAATATGTTGGTATATAAAATAAAAACGAATGTTTTATAGTATTCTATTTTAATATATCTGCTACCTCATATCATTCCATGGGTGGTGTATGAGGCGACATAGGGAAACATCAAAGAAGATAAACAGCAGCATTGTCCTGATACCAGCTAAATAATAGTTGACAACCCGCTTTCCAAGCGTTGAAACTATGCCAAATAACTATAATAATGTTTATGTTCAACAGTGGACTTTCGATAGACTGTAAAGATATATATTCTATTTAAATGAAAATATATTGAAATTTATAAAGGAAAAAAAACTAAATTTTGTGTATATACACAAAATAGAAATATTAACAATGTTACATTAAGTAAAATAAATGAAAACACAATTATATATTAAATATAATTCAATAAAATTAAAATAAACAAACTATTATTTATTAATTTTTCATCACATTAATAAACAACAAATTTAACAAAGTTTTTGTCTTCTTTCTAGAGCATTCGTTGATCAGATTAGAAGGGAGTGTATGTATATATATATATATATATATATATATATATATACATATATATATAATTTGCCTTGTATATAATATATTTTAATGGTATAAATAATAAGGTACAACTCCTAAACTATACTTAGATAGGTAATGCTTATCTCTTGTCAAAAACATCTTTATTACATTATTTTTATGACAATTAAATAGAAATTATCATAATTATTACATTTATTTCTTAATTTATTTACACATTAATGTTTATAACACCTTTATAAAAGGGATTAAGGGTGGACTAAATGTCCCATTGGTAAGCATTCCCAGTCAGTTTTACAATTATTATTGCATAATAAATTATTCATTTGTATATTTAGGTCAGGACTTTAAATTACTTATTTTTTTTTTTTTTTTATAGGATCGGGTGACAAACGTGCACACAGTCCACCTGATGGTAAGTGGTTACTGTGACCCATAGACATCTACATCTATCCTCAATAAAGACTCAAGATGCAGATGCGTTGTCACCCGTGAGGACTAAGATGGAATGCCTCTTTGCCAGTAAAAAGGGTCTCCGGTTCTCTACACTCACCATACGAAACACAGCAGCGTTAAGCTGCTATTTTGCGCTGGTTTTCTGTGAGAGCGTGGTCCTTCCCCGGTCGAGCCGACCCATTCGTGCTACAACCATAATATAGTTGCAGCTTGGCTCTACCACGTTTAAAATTTATTATAAATTTTTAAAATTTATTATAGATTTAAATAAAATATATTATTTATTTATTTTATTTAAATCTTTACTTGCATAAAACATGGTAGTACAGATAAAGTTCCAACATTTGTAAATGAGGATTCATGTTTAATCAATACATCTATAAGTAAATATTTTGTCATTGTCATGCCACCCAATTATTACAAGTCATAATAATACAGAATGTCAGCATTTGAAAATAAAATAAGCAATGCTAGTCAATTTTTAATACATACAGAACAATGTCAAAAATCATAACTACGAACAAGATCAAACTTATATCACTTATGGAGAAACAACAAGATACAACAAGAAATTATAACATTTAAAAATTATCTTAATTATATTATAAATTACATAAGTTAAGCATATTTAATCCACCTAAAACAATGAGGCTTAAAATGTTTTGAGCACACACTGCTAAGTTTTGTTGGTTACCTATAAGCACTACCAGTAGCGATTATCCAACTGTTACGGATAGCTGATTCCTTAGGAAAGCTGTGAAATGATATATTTAAAAGAAATTAATATATTAAATATATAGTACTCTTTTATATCAAGGTATTTAACAAAAAAAATCAAGTAGGTATGTGTATCTGTGCATAAATAGAATACCTATAACAATTAAAACAATATCAATTGATTTGATTAAATTGCAAGTATATGTAAATGTAATGATAATATTATTCATACCAAACATTTAAAAAAATTATGTACATATTAAGCTTTAGATATTGTTAATTAATACATTTACAGCCTAACAAATGTCCTCCACCGCTGAACATAGACCTCCCACACAGTTTGTCTCCAAATAACTGCAGTTGCCAATTCTCCTGCCAAGCTAGGCAACTATCACAAAACCTATAACTTTTGATACTGACTAATGGTAACAGTAAGTATGTTATCATCAAATTTTTTCTTAATCATTAATTGAGAATATTATCTTATGTTGTTGTGTTATTGTGTACCTTAAGGTTAAGACTTATTTATTTATTTATTTATTTATTTATCTATATTTATATTTATTTTTATATTAGCATGACATATTTTTTTAGTAAATATTGGAATGTAATTGTTGTTAATGTATAATAGAATTAATGGAATGCAATAAAGTTTTGTGCATCTGATTTCAGGCAATACATATTTTGTGAAATTAAATACACTTTGCCCAATATTTATGTACTTGAATCCAAACATGTTTTCAGCTTGATACTTACATATTATTTGTGACGTCTATGTCATATGGAAAGTGATTGAAGAGTTGTAGGGCAATAAGGAGTTTCCTTTAAAGCTGAACATAAAAGTATATGCATATGTATAACGTTATGTGATTCATATTTATGGACATAACTACTAATCACAATAACAATTATTATTGAACAATGCGAAAACATTATTGTACTCGCTGATATCCCTAAAGTTTCTATAATCCTACTAAATCAAAAAGTACACGTTTGTTACGACTTTAAGCTTTTGAATGACCGTTCAAATTAAGGAGCATTATCATGAAGAATTTACAATTTGGGAGTCCAAATATTTGACAAAATACATCACAAAGTTCATTAAAAACATGAAATGTCATACTTTATATTCAAAACAATAGATACTAATCAGTACAAGTAGCAAATGTAAGCACAAAACAAACTTACAGATGAAAGGTAATATTATCAATTTTTCGTTGACTGATGCTGTTGCATCCTAAAACGCTACAACTCTCCATCTTTTTCACCTTACCTAATAACTAAGATCCACAAAAAACACTAAACTCAATTACCTGTTTGCTTATAATATCAATATTATTCAAAAGAGCTTGACATCGTTAATGTCAAATAAAGGAGGGAAAACCATCAAAAACGCATACTTAGAAAAAGACAAGAAATATGGATTTGCTTCTCCCTTACTCTTATGTCTAACTATATGCGTGCATTCCTTTCACACGCTGATGACGTCACTAAATGTTTAGTCTATAAGATACTATGTCTATGTATAAAAGGGAAAAATATAAAAATGTCGTATTATTATGCTTAACTGGCCTAGAGCAGTATGTAGGATTTTCATTTTCTGACTGGCAAGTTTTTGGAAAACTTAAATAAAGCCTTTATTACTATATTTATTTAAAAATTAAAAATATATTAAGGCAGTATATTTAAAGAATTATTAAAGCAGTTGTGCCTACGCGTCGGCGATGGTGACCTCAACTTCCACACCTGCTTCGATGTTGATTGACATAATCTGCTTCATAATCTCGCAGGGTGAATGCAAATCAATTACGCGCTTGTGGATCCTCATCTGGAAGTGATCCCAGGTTTTTAAAGGTGTCTTAAGGTCACCGCAAAGTGTCTTACGGGTGGTAATGCGTAGAATCTTAGTGGGCATGCGCACTGGACCCTTGACACTTAGCTTATGCTTCATGGCTCCGTTGATCAGGTCAGCACAGATCATCTCTAAAAAGCGTACATTACGGGCCGTCAGCGTGATAAGAATGCGGTGGATCGGTAAGATCTCAACCTGAGGCTTCTCAATGTCCTTGCCTGACACGACGGCGGACGGTGGGGAGGAATTTATTTATTTTATTGTAGAATTAACATAACAAAGTAGCAATATAAAATCATTTTTTAGAAAATATAAGATGGATTAATTAGAGTGTTTTCTCGACATATGGCTACACATATTATCTTACAAGTGCATTATGGTTATGATAGAGGCATTCTAAGACCACAAAATTCCTTGACCTTGATGTGTCGAGAGTAATACAATAATGTGAAACTTAGTTAAAATACGTTTCATAGGTAATAAAAGAAAAGTCTAAAAAAAGAAGGGTCCTTATATTCATATGTTTGGATATAGTCCAAGATTAGTCAGGTTCAGTATTACCGTAGATTTCGTTACGAGTGATTCCGTGAATTGCTTTTCTCCTAAATGTTTTTTATAGGATAAGGGTGACAAAGTACACCTGATGGTAAGTGGTTGCTGTGGCCCATAGACATCTACATCTATCCTCAATTACGAACCAAATGTGGAATGTGTGAATTCCATATGCGTTGTCACCCGTGAGGACTAAGATGGTATGCCTCGTTTCCAACAAAAAGGGCCTCTGGTTCTCTACACTCACCATATGAAACACAGCATTATTAAGCTGCTATTTTACGCTGGTATTCTGTGAGAGTATGGTTCTCCCCCGGTCGAGCTGACTCATTCGTGCTAAAATTATACCAGTAATATAGCTGCAGCATGGCTCTATCACGAATAGTATATATAATAAATTTAAGATGATACATTTATTTCTTGGACACGCAATATTCTTTTAATTTTTTTAGTTTAAACTTTTATTAGCTTCAAATATCGTGTATATCGTTCTGTATTCTCAAATAAATTGTCATGATAATAATATATGAAACACTCTAAAGAAATAAAAATTGTAATATTTACAATTTAATTCCGAGTTGGACGCAAAAAGAGCGAGTCTAGCAGATCGGCTTTCTCTTTTGCGGCGTGGGCCAGTGAGTCATTCTTCTGTGCAGAGATGGTAGTGATGGCTTACAGAAATTCCCTTGGATAGCCTTGGCGAGAGGCCAGAATGCACTGATAAGGTTTCTAATATTTATTTGCTTAAAAAATTAAACTTTTATTGAACTTGACATATTTTCATTTTATATTTCATTTGTGTGTGAACTGCACACCTGTTTTTTTTTTTTCAGGCATAAAAACTATCAAAACTGCACTTTTTTGCAAATGAATTTTGATTAATAACGTACTCATTAATAAACTTTATTAACGTTAGAAATAGAAACTTGATCTGAAGCTGAAAAACGGTACAGCGCGTCCTTCTAAAGCTTAGACCCTGGGTCTGACCTCTGCGTTTGACTCTTAAAAAGCACATGAGCATCTGACCAAGGACATCTACTTTTCTTATGAAAATTCTGGATTCATTATGTTTTCTACCAACTTTCAGAAGACGTATAATCAGTCTTTTTGGTTTTTGAGAACGACTCACAAAATAGCGATCACAACATCCTTCATTTTGTACAAATTTTGCGTCTTGAATTTTGAAATATTAATTTGCTTCTTGAAAGCCTTCTGGAGTTTGTGAATAAGGTGACTAGAGGTCTCAATTTCTGTTATTGCTGTCTAGATAAATTCTTATTATTTTATTTGATATTGATGTCTTCTTGTCTCTGGCACTGCATCCTAGGCGATACTTTACAATGTTTGTATTGCTATCATAAGATTTCTGTTATTGCTGTCTAGATAAATTCTTATTATTTTATTTGATATTGATGTCTTCTTGTCCCTAACACTACATCCTAGGCGATACTTTACAATATTTGTATTGCTATCATAAGATTTCTGTTATTGCTGTCTAGATAAATATTATTATTTTATTTGATATTGATGTCTTCTTGTCACTGGCACTGCATCCTAGGCGATACTTTACAATATTTGTATTGCTATCATAGGATTTCTGAGAAATATGTATTAAGTCAATAGCGAAACCATTATAAGTATTGCATCCACATTTTGGTAAAATCAAGCAACACTTTGAGACTAGCAACTTACAAAACAAATTTTCACAAATCTAAATAAAAATTGTGGCGATACTTCAGCTGCTTACTTTATATAAAGCGCAAGTCCGGTCGTGCGTGGAGTATTGCTGCCATATATGGGCTGGTGTTGCAAAATCCCACCTAGCAGCTTTGGAATCAATGAAAAGACACGCTATGAAGCTTATTGATGACCTGAATTTGGTTAAAAACTATCTCACCAGTCTCGAACACATGCGCAAAGTAGCCAGCCTTTCGGTTTTATACAGGATGCATTTCGGATAGTGTGCGCAGGAATTGCATAATTTAATTCCTCCCTCTCCCTTCCACCATCCGACAACCAGACGTTCAGCCAGTCTCCACCCCTTCGTTGTTGACTTACCACGCATTCTAACCAAACGGTTTGCAACATTGTTCATCGTACAGCAAACGAGTGGAATAAGTTGCCCTCATCTGTCCACTTATCATTAGGTGGGATTGTAGTTTTTTTTTTATAGTAGAGTTTTTTTTACAGCTCACCTGATGGTAAGTGACTACCGCTGTCCATGAACGACAGCAACACCAGGGGAACCAGGGGAATTGCAGATGTGTTGCCGGCCTTTTAAAAAGGAGTAGACTCTTTTCTTGAAGGTCCCTAAGTCGTATCGGTCCGGAAAAATTACTGGTGGTAAACTATTCCACAAGGAAGTTGTGAAATAGTTTACTGTCTTAAATTTGCGTTCGGAGATACATCTCAGCGTGTGATGATATTATGGCATGATTTTTTAAAGGTGGAAAGGTTTACTGTCTTAATTTTGCGTTCGGAGATACATCTCAGCGTGTGATGATATTATTTCCTTAAAGGACTCCGCTTATGGCAGCGTCATGGGACAAGTTTTCCACTTTCCTTATGATCGAAGAGAGCGACGGCTGCCACATGCATCATACTTGTGAACAGGTGCTACTTGTGGATGCTAGTCGCTAGTCTGCTCGGGTTTTCTTTACACCGATAAGCTACAAAATTTTAATCGTCCTCTTCCTCGAACATCATAGAACACACTTAAGTTACCGAAGTGTTTTCCATTCTGTATACAGGGTATCCGGCCTTGAAATGGTTTATGGCAGAACATATAGCCATTCAAAAAAATATAGGATATATTAACCAAAGTAGTACCTGTTTTTTTTAAATTACTTATTTTACATCACGACCTCAAATTAGTTATTTTATTATTATAGTATTTAACGTTATATGCGTTGGAAGATAATCTACTAAATCGCACAGTGGTGGACCGCCAATCATCCAGATGGCGTGGATGGTATCGGGAATACTGTCCCGATGTGCATTCGTGAAATTTGGCGGCTGTGATTAATCCGAACAATTCCTCAGAGCACACCCCGTGGTAAATGCGAAAGAAAATGCAAAGAGATGCGACATCTCTTCGCTGCGCCAATGAATCGAGCCGATCGGAAAGGACTCTGTCGTCGACGATTCGAGCCACTCTGCGCTGGATGCGGTCAAGTGGAAGGGGCTGGCACTGGGGAGCTCCAGCCCAGAGATGGGAACAGTATTCCATGTGAGGCCGTACCTGTGCCTTATAAAGTTGCAGGCGTTGTGCCGGCATGAAATACTGTCTCGCTCTGCTGAGCACGTCAAGCCTTTTAGAGGCCAATTTGGCGTTCACTTCCAAGTGACCACGAAACTGCACGTCACTTGATATATCGACGCCTATTCCGATACTGGCTGAGGCAAGAAGGAGAGTGCCTTGAAACTGAGGAGATACGACAAAGGGGTTGTTTTTAGCGGTAAACGCGCAAACTTTAAAAGTCTTCTGAGGATTAAACTGGACTAAATTTAGTCGCCCCCAATCCGAGACTTTGTTCAGCAAAGACTCAACTTCAGACACAAGATTGTTCCGGTACAAGGCGACGTTTTCGCGAGAACTATTATAGTAACGAATATAGCACGGCCGGTGAATAGAGCATCACCAGTGCTGTCATCCGCATAGCAATGAATGCTACCGGTTTGCAACATATCATTGATATCTACAACGACCTTGATGCTCCGATCTGCAAGAAAGCTGGTGATACAATTGCACAATTTCTCGGAAAGCCCATAGGAAGGGAGCTTCGAAAGAAGCGCTTTGTGCCAGACCCCATCGAAGGCCTTCGCTATGTCCAAACTAATGGCCAATGCCTCCCCCTTGGACTCGATCGCCTGCACCCATCTATGTGTTAGGTAAACAAGAAGATCACCAGCTGAGCGACCCCGACGGAAACCGTACTGGCAGTCACTAATCAGCTGGTGCTCCTCAAGGTAACGCATGAGCTGGCAGTTAATAATGGACTCCATTATTTTTGAGAACAAGGAGGTGATGGCGATAGGCCTGTAGTTGGACGGGTCTGAGCGGTCGCCTTTTTAGGGATCAAGTGGACAAAAGCTGTCTTCCATGATTTCGTAACTATGCCTAGGGAGTAGGAGTACCGGAAAAGACGCGTTAGAACCGGTGCTAACTCCAGAGCACACGTCCTCAGCACAATTGGGGTGATTCCGTCAGGCCCACTCGATGATGGAATAAATAGTTCCATTACCAGTAGCACAACATCAACAAAGAACAAAGAGTCAGTAACAGCGCTGGGATCATCCGGCGAGAAGCAAACCCGCCCCCATGGGTAGGATGCAAAGAAATACCGCATTCCGTCCCAATCCGCCGACCTGTAATGCCAAACACGGCGGCAACCTGCATAACGCAACTGCGAGGGGAGCGTGAGTGGCACCACACACCGGATCAGTTCAGACACCATAAATTTTAATTTTAGCAGCTTGTTTGACGATGACAGTTTCAGTTTCTTTAGAAATAAGTGTACAGATAGACTTTACAACAAAAGGTACAAGTTCATAGTTAATGAATCGTGGCAACTGTG